CAATAGTAACATAAAATTTTTTTCCAAAATAGCCTCTGAAAAAGGATATGAAAGTACGGTATAAAAAATTCAGTATGAGTGAAGCTGCATAAAATGGAAGATGAATAGTGTGAATTTAGAATCTATCATGAATTCTGAAAATATATTGATAAATTCAAAATATAAGCACTGTAGTTACAGATTTTAATGCATTTTCAACTCTTACGCTTGCTACATTTTAAATTTTGAATCAGACTTTAGCTTTTTATTTTTATATTTTATTCTGCGCCAATTAAGTGATGATAACAACACTTCTTGTTAACATTGCCAATCTGCTTAATTCGTAAGACTAATTAGTACTGAGAAAGAAAGTAATTTTGTGTTGCATGCTGATAAGTGGTCGCATGTTGGCACAAATTTGCGATAAGTTGTGTTACGATTACACAATATCATTAATGAAATTGACAATTTTCAATCTTCAAAAATAAAATCAAGTTTTGCAACGTCTGAAGTGAATAATATTTTGATGAACTGTTACAGCTATTTCATTTCAGATTAAGTTAAATGATTCTCGATGTGATAGCCCAGGAAGTTGTTGTGTAAGTCATCGGTCGTCTGTTAGCATGGATTCGGGTTGTGTATTAATTTCTTCCGATCTTAGGTACCAATTGTTTGCAATTTCGAGACAGTTGCGACGTTTAATACTTGTTAATATCCAATGCAAAATGAAATGATAAGACTGAATGGCAAATTAGTTGCAGTAGTGGAAATTACAGTAGTCAACCGATGCCTCCTAGTACTTACCGAAAGTTCTCTATTGATGACAAACGAAAAAGAAGTGAACGGAACCAGAATGTTACAGAAATTTCGACTGATAAAAATCCAAAGCTTATGGTAAACTTTGAATTAGCCGCTCAAGCAATCAGTTTATGAATCTGTTTCTGGATTTCACTTATACAGGCTTTATTAAAATAATTTTATGATTACTGTTTCTCTCCTCTTTTACCCATCTGTATTTTAATTTATTATAAAGAGCGTTTGTTCCAGGCTATGGCCATAAAAAGTATCACAGCTTTGCGCTGTGTTCGAGAAGAATACCGTTCTCAAAATTGTTCAGAGATAAAATCGTGCAATACTCTCGATAAAAATAATGTTATTACAGTGGATTCGCCATCAATTTCTCAAACAACTCCTCTGCTAATCCCTCGAAAATTTTCGGTTCTCTCAGGAAAATCGAAAATTGCTCATGTAAGTTATCAAGTATTAAAAAATGCAATATTTTATAAATTTTTGGCTCATAATTCAAAAAATCAAATTCGTGTATTTTGCAAATATTTCAAGTTCATTAAAAGCTAGCCTTCCGTTTTCAGCGCAGTTTAATTTATTCAATGCTAGTACTGTTTTACAATCTACTACTCTAGACCGAAAAAAATTTTGTAAATGAACTGAGCAGCATTAATATTCTTTTTACCTAGACTGATCATAAAGGTCTTAAACCAGGATGCATCGATGCATCCATCCGTTCCCAAATACATAGCTGGGAGAAGAAATCACCGACAAATTTACCTTCGAATCAGTCATCGATGCTGCATACAAAGCCAATTACCTTATCGCTATCATCGAAAATACCAACTTCTCCTTATATGAGACTCAGAAATCCGCAAATTCAGGTCTGAAAAAATCGTCATCTTCATAATATTCTTCTAGCTTCTTTGCACCAGTCCACAGGCTAACAATGCAATTTTAGAAGCCACTGAGTAATTCTCGAATAGAATCCAATTCAACCGATAATCAATCTATATTTCACGCTAGCCGAATATTTGTGGATGGATCACCGCGTTTGATGCAGTATCCAAGAAAATATATGAATACCGACAGGCATGATTCTGATGACGAGAACTCAAGCCTTTTACGTGCACAGCCGGCCATTGTTCTTAGCAGGTAAAATTACTGCTACTTATCATTTATTTGTTATATCTTCCAGAATTATTTTTGACATTTATTATATTTTTTCGTCGTTAAACAATCTGTAAGTAACCATATACTTAAAGTATCCTGAATATTTCCATGAAAAAAAAATTTTAAGTAGAGTTCTAATCAACCTTAAAAAAAAACATCTGTCAGTACTCACGTACTGGAAACTTTCAGAATACTGACTGTTGAACAGTTCAAGGTAGTTAAGAAAAGTTTTTAGGGATAATTAGAAGGTTGAATATATTTATCGCTTTTATAAATATTATCGAGCCATTACTTCTGCTCATAGATCAGTCAACAAATTTTGAAAGAATTAAAATGAATATTGATAAAGCTTTTACACAATGTTTACTATTTTTTCAATTTACAGGCAGCAAAGTTACGCACAGTCAAATGAGAATTCCCCACGTGAATTACGAAAAAATCACTGCATCAAAAGTTATGATTCCTCTTCAAATGTTACATTGCTTGGCTACCATCAAAAACTCAGCCGGTGGGCTTCTCACCTATGTATTGAAAATACTCACACATTTATTGTATTCCATCATCTAAAATTAGCAATGACCACTTGAATTTGCTTGCAAGCAGTACACGAGTTTTCAGATGTGAAAGCTCGCAAAGTTCAGAAACAACAATGCCTGACCGGCCTCGTCGCCGTAAGAAGGAAAAAGACTGGAAGGAATCTGAGGATTTGTAGAAATACAGAAACTCAATAAAGATATTTGATACATTTACAATACTATGGAAAATTTTTATCCTTTATAATGAAGTAGTTGTAAATTGTCAAAAGATCTAATTGCTAATTATAATTAAATATATTATTAGCGACGGCGAAATAGAAGAACATCAATAACCATGTTACATATCGAACCATTACGAACTAATGATTATTTTTCAATGCAAGACATGAAAACTGAAAACCTGTTACATTACTGAATTTCTTCTTTATTCACGAAATTCGATCACTGACATTAGAAGAAGAATGTATGAAGATAAAATTTAATTTGAGTAAGTAAAGGTCAAGTCAGCCTTCTTTTCGTTTGAAAATATAGCAAGAATATTTGCATTTATCGGATACTGAAATAAATGCAAATGCGCATAATTTATGATATTGGTCCTCTCACAGTGATCTGCTAGTGGTTTTCTCCTTTCACAAACTTAACTAATAAATTCACATTTCTCAAATGCTCTGAGAAATTTGATTTTCGATCGAAGAGTAAAATTTGTTGATGGCCTGCAATACAAGATGTTGAATATCAGAACTATATAAGAACGATTGCACTGAAAATAAAAAGATAGGACTGACTGCATTGAGGTTTCTTTCTTGGGACCATATAAACTCTATTATTCGTCGTCAGAATACTGTTCATTTTTATGCTTTCGTTTCATATGATCGTAGAGAAAACAACTGTGCAAAAACAGCTTCTCGCAACAGCTGCACTGAAAATTTTAAGAAGAGTCGATTTCTCCTTAACATGAACATATAAAGTTATTTACAATTTGAAACTAAGTTTTCAGAATGTTTAGGACTCAAAATCCAATATTAAGTAATTACAAGTAATTCTAAAATTGAAAAATATAACTAATAGGTGATCTGCTACTCATTTGAAGTCAGAAAATGATATATGACTCAGATTGGTCAGTAAGTGACCTCAAATAATGAATTAATCGTTTCTGGCTCACTGATCAATTTTTTACGTAATTTTGAATTTTCTTCAGTAACAACCTTCATACTGTTTTGCAAATCTTGCACTTGTTGTAAGAGTTCAAACTGCGTTTTCTGCAAAAACAAATCCGGAAAAATGTTATTTTGAGAGAATGCAAATAAAAAAACAAATAAATGGATAGAAATTCAGTCCAGATTTTGTGACATATAGAAGTAGCTTAGGTTTTATAACTTTTTTCAGCAATGAGGACCAAATTTGAAAGTGAAAAATGGAACTCTTTAACTTTCAACTTGTCTTTAGTGAGTGGTCATAAAAGTATATTCACTAATATATATTCGATCTGCATCTGGGCGATTCGAAACATTTTCAGCAGTCTTTTAACAGTACAATCGTCATCCTCAAAAAATAATTATGTATATTCAATAAGAATCAACAACAGAGATTGGTAAATTCTGCATTAATACTATAAAATCTTATAATTAAATTGCAATCAGAACCAATATTAATACCAAGAGTAGTACGCACAAATTACAGAATATTTTTAAATTGTATCAAAATTCAGCTTTAGAATAATGAATAAATCGAACAGTAAAATACTTATTACATCTGAGAAGAATTATACCGTTCGTTCAATTTTGCAGAGTACAATGGATGGCAAAGCGCGTTGAAGAACATCATAGATGCCAACACCTTCTTCGAGAAGAGTCAAACTTATTTCATCTAGAGAATGATTGATTACAAACAATCGGCAGAAAAATTTTTCAAATGAAAGCTAGTAAAAGTCAGAAATATCTCTACTGAACGCACTCTCCCGACTCCTATCATCATTAGCAACTTAAAGGATCAATGATATACCATACCAATTAATTTCCAATCTGGTTCTCGATAATTCATAGGTTCTGCAATTTTCAGGCACTGATATCTGTGAAATTATTGTTCTCGATTAGCCAAGAAGTATCTGTTAACAAAACATGGTCATATAAATCCTAACACAGTCAAACATTTTATAGAATAATGACACGAATAGTTGCCATGGCTACCAAGCCACTAGTAATATAATCGGTTCATCAATAGGTCTCGCCGAAAAAAATAATTTAAAAATTCGAAACCGACAGTAACTGTGAACATTTACATTGGTCGGGGAGAATGTCAGGCTATCAAGAAAGTAAGGAACACGTCGTACTTATCTGTTCATCACAATAATAAAACCCACTCGTGTATAATCAAACCCGTCCTAGCAAAGCATCTAGATGATAAATTTATTGATGGAAAAAATAAAACACAATGTAAACTACGATTTATCTTTCATCATCTTTGCGAAATATGGTACTTTATTATAACAGCGACTTATTTGAAACATTGAAGATTCACATTAAAATTTATTTTGGCTTCCAAATTTTAAAGCATAATGAAGAATAATCTAATCTAGAGAACCGTATCAAAAACTGCAACATTAAATGAAATTAAATTCCATGTTGACACAGTAACCACATCTTAAAATCTATACTATTTCCGCACGTTTACTTATTTTGCCTTTTTTCGCTCTTAATCGTTCTTTCCTTGTTTCCTTCAGAATTTGTTTCAGCGTCTCTTCAGGAAGTACTTTATTCAATTGTATTTCAAGGAGTACGTAAAACCCTACAAACAAACATACAACAGCACCTGAGGTAAAGCAAATATGTTCAATTTGAAACAATTTAAAAGTCGTAAACAAAAATCACTGAAATGAAAGTTAATGTCTAACCCTCTCGAGCCAAGCGTTTGCAGAATACTGGATTGAATCCTAATGCTGCCAATTTTTTAAAAAATATACAATGTGCATCATTAACTGCATACTCTAATGCTTTCTCAGCGGGCAGATGTTCAATTATTAAGCGTGGAACTTCTATTCGACCACAACTTAATTTGCCAATCTAGAGGAAAAATTGATAAATTCTCAACTTGGTCCAGTACTTAAAGCAGATTAATGATTAAAATCGAACAACAATGCTTTTTTCGGTTAGATTTCTAAACTTAAGACACTTTTAAAATAATTTTGAAAATAAAAAATGATACATTTTAATCCTAAAATTTTTTTGAAAACAACGGATATATAAAAAATTGACATTAATTGCTTTGGTTTTCAAGTATAAAGACATTAATCATCCGAAAAAATATTTCTTTATCAATCTAGTCACGCCATACATTGATCATGAAATCGATGTTAGCATCCACATCGATTTGGGGCCACGGCTGTTCATTGATTTCTCTATCCAGTATTACATCACCATTCAATGATGGAACAGACCGCAAAGCAGCCCAGTATTCAGCTGCTACATGAGGAGTGAATAACTGTAATAACACTAATTTAAGAGAAATATTGATAACTCAATTTCGCAGAAGAACAGTACAATTAATAGCGAATAATTATAAAAACTAATTAATTTTCTGTAAAAAAAATTAAAACTACAATAACAATTGATCGGAGAAAAAATATCGGAATATATGCATTTGAAGTCAGAGTTCAGTAAAAAAACTGAAGAATCTGACAAGCATTACTTTAACTAACAAGCAAATTATTGTCAGAAACTGAACTATTCAAAAAGAGTCTTTAACATATTTAACATAGCATATTATTTAAAATAACACAAATCAACTCACCTGCATCATAATTACTAAGGCATGAACACATCTTTCAAACTGCTTGCTGTAACAATACGCTTCAGTAGAGCTTCGCTGAAGCAAAATTTCAATAAATTTAACGTTAAGTCATGTAAAATTCTTTTCAAAAAAGTTGCCACACAAAAAAATTAGCTTTATTACTTTTTATACCTTTAAAATCTTAGAAAGAGCTTGTAAATAGTCCACCGCAGTATTAAGTAAATGCAAAACTTCTATAACCATAGAAACCTGAAAATTCAGACCTATAAAAATTTGTAAATTACAGCAATTTGGTTAAAAAAATACTCTTCTAAATCAAAGAAGCTTTACTCAGTGACTCATGATAAAAACTTACATTTCGGACATAAAAATTATACGTAGCACGGTATTCTTCTTCTTGCTTGGTATCGTACCATTTAGAAGTTGTGAAAGCCACAGAACTACGTTTCTGTACATAGCAACTAACAATATCCGAAGTTCGTTCCAAGAATTTGAATAAGCCTTTCAGTTCTTAAACAGCACCATAAAAATTGAAAATAATTGCTAAATCTTGCAAAAGAAAAAACCCTTAAGTCTTATTCAATAATGCCTTTTTTTTTTAAATGAAAAAGAGCAATACATGATAAGAACAAAAATTTTAAGTGCGCCTATGTAATTTTTTACGGAACATAAGAGCTCTATTTTTAACACTTATTAAATATAACTTTTAAAGTTAAGACTGCTGAGTGCTAAGTTACATTCCTTAAAGCAAAAACTTGATTATTCCTCAATGGAATATACCTGCATCACCCCAATTAATGGGTTCCCTTGGTGCAGCTTCATTTAGCAGCTGTAAACGTGTTAAATCAATTCCTTTTAATTTGATAACAGAAAAAGGATCAATACCATTATGTTTCGACTTTGACATTTTTTCAAAGTGAGTAATTACTGCACTGCCATCTTTTCTTGCGATATAACCATTGCCTTCAGAAAAGCAAAAATGAAACACCACGATCAATCGAAATTCTATCAATATCTTATTCAATAATAAAAAAAATATTTAACAAAAATTTAGCAACAGTCAAACCTGTTTGTACGACATCATTTTCTTTAAGATACTTTCCATTGTCACTCCTTCTAAATGTTCGACCACAAACGATTCCTTGCGGTAATAACCGGTCGAAAGGTTCAGGAACAGACAAAACACCAATATCATGAAGAAAATATGATATGAACCGCGCGAAAAACAAATGTAACGCAGCTAAAGAAGTCACGCATGCAAATAATGTTAGTATCAGAAATGAGGAAGTCATTAAATGGGGATTTCTGTGTAATAAAAGTAAATACCTAAAAAAAATACAAAAAGTGATACTTTCAGTGAAAAAACAAAGTCAATGATTCGAATAAATTTGAAACTCCCTCAGCATGAAGCCTCTTCTTTCTTTCTCTAGCACAATATTTATATTTAAATGGCTATTTCTGATTTATTCAGAAATTTTTACCGTGTTCAATTCCACCGACATAAACATCAACTGGCATATCTACCAATTTGTCCTTTGAAATTAATCCTTCACCATTTATAGGGTCAAGAAATCTGTAAGAGTCTGGATTTTCTACAAAGTCGAACAAAGAGAAAGAAGAAGCTATACGACGAACCTTAGATAGTACCAGCTTGAGTCGAAAAATGTATCCAAAGTATCTTTTTCCCAGTACCCAAATCCTTCAGGTAATCTGAAGTATCAAAAAATCTATTTATTTCAATTACTGCGCATTAAGTTCTGACATCAACAAATCTATAAAACAAATTAGGTACCAAAAGAATCTGAATTCTGGATCAAAAATTATATAATAAGATTCTTTTTTTTTAATTTCAACTGAAATGCATTTAACTGAAATTAAAATAACTGAACTACAGATTTATGACACAAATCTAAATTAAAAAACATCTAACAGATTAACAAACAAATATAATACCTCGACATGAACTCAAACGAAATTCTTTAGAAAATTAAAACCAACCTTGAACAACAAACCTTTTCACCATATTTACAATGAGATGCAATAACAGGTAGCTCATCATCAGAAACTGCAACAGCGCACTGATCATTACCACTGAGTAACACTGGTATAGGAGTGCCCCATTTCCTTTGTCTAGAAACAACCCAGTCAAGCAATCTTTCACTTGTTTCATAACCACCATAATTTCCAAACTGAAAAACAGTAGTCATTAAAAATAATCTTATTATGCCAGCATTTGGAAAATTGAACACTCTTGCTGTTTATGCACCATGAGCTTCGACCAATTATGGTAGTAAACAGCTACAAAATTATACAAACATAAAATCTATGTAAAAATGAACTAACTACAGCAATTTCAACTACATCGTTGTCAGAAAGAGAACTTTCAATTGGTTCAGTTGAAAATCCAAAACTTTGCAAGATTTTTTTATCAAAATGCTTCTCGCCACACAAAAGTCTTGCATTTAGGATAAAATCAGAGTCATTTTTTGATACAGATTCGTTTAAATAAATGATAGGCATATCTTTTCCTGTAACGATATTCAAAGCCGTGGCTTTCAGAATACCTGAAATTTAGTAAACTTCCAACTAAGTTAATCCTTCATAATTTATAACTGAACATAAATCTGAACTATTCTGCGAAACTAGAAAAATATAAAAGAATCCCTTTTAAAGATAATAAAGTAAATATTTCTAAAGCAGAAAAGTCATAAAACATGCCTTTCCTAATTATAGTATTCATCTCAAACTTACCGATTTCTTCTTTTCCATCACGTAAGCTTAAAAGAGGATGGCCGGTTCGAATGAAGATCACAGTAGCTTTTGCAAGATGACTAGGTTTTCGAATTCGAAGATCAAGTTTTTCATCCAAAATAACACCATCTTCTCCCTCAAGAACTGATTACAGTGAAAAGAATTTGAAATATCATATTTGAAACAAGAGGTGAAACAGATGATATGACTGATTCAATAAATAACAAGTTAAAATGAGATAAAATTTAAAGTTACACCACAATTTGAAAAAAAAACACTGAAATATCAATTAAACTATGCATATCAGCACAATTTTGAGTAAGAAAATACTAAAAACACTGAAATATACTCGGAAGAAATTGAGAAATTCAGACATAAATTTTACGGATAATACGAGACAAATTATTCACTACAATTACTTTAAGAGGTAATAAAAATCGCCAAACATCGCATTTCCCAATCCAATTAGCTTGTATAAGTGCCACTTCCTTCCACTGTGCCAATTTGCCTAGTCCATCGAACATACGCTATAAACCTACACTTCTTTAAATTAAACGATGCAAGTACTAAGTGTTACTCAGTGGGAAGTAATAACTTTTGCATATTTTGGAGTTTCGACCATCCAATGTTTAATTTTACGCTTCTCAGTGAAAGCACCCGAACGCCATGAACGTCCCTCTGCATCAACTTGTTCAGCAGCAAGAACTGTACCATCGACAGGATCCCAATGAACCTATATTGTATTAAAAATTCTGCTGTGTACAGTTAAAATTCTGCAATTTGAAAAAAATGAAAAGTTATTTTGAATATTAATCAAAAAAAACCTCTGATAAGGCTCGACGAATCAAGCCATGTTCGAAAAGACGACAGAAAATCCACTGTGTCCAACGATAATAATCAGGTGTACATGTTGAGATTTCCTCAAAAAGATCTGCATTTAAAAAAATAATACTACACTTTTAAAAAGAATATACTACTACAATTTCTGTTTTTATTGACTTTCATGTAAATAAATGCATTCAAAAAAGGCTCACTCTGTTCCAATCAAATATAATACCCGTATTTAGCAGCTGCTCTCGCATCACATCGATATTACTGCAATGAACTAGATCAAGACTCAAAAAGATTACAGGAAACAAGTTCAGAGAAAATACTCAATTAAGACAAAATTGGAGTTAGGTTATGTAGTAAATACTATTATGATTGAACTTTCGCGTATTCATGACATGAATTACCTAGCAGTCCAAGCAGCTGGATCAACACCTTTTTCTCTAGCAGCATTCTCAGCCGGCAAGCCGAATGCGTCCCAGCCAATGGGATGGATTACATTATAGCCATTCAGTCTTAATTAAAAATGGGAAATAATTTTGCAGAGCATCAAGCAAATTAAGTACTGACATCGAAAAATCAGCAATAAAAGATATCTAAGATAATGTAGAAAAAAAATGATGAAAATTTCTTCCGTGTTTTGACCAGATGAATATTTTTCATCTGAAATTCATCATTTTCGAATTAAAAAATACCTATAATAACGTGCTAGTACATCAGATATAGTATAGACTCGCATATGACCGATATGTAATTTTCCAGACGGATACGGAAACATAGGCAAAATATATTTTTTTGGTCGCGAGGGCTGAAGTATGAATAGAATTTAGATCCCAAGTTAAAATCCAATCCACATTAAAAGCATTGTATTATTTTCCTGATTATGAATTGCAACTAACTCAACATATTTTAACGAGTAAACAACAAACATCAACAGTTGGTGCCATTTGAGCAACTTGCTTCCAATATTTTTCTAAATGGAACAACTTCGTGGATATTCCACATTCCTGTAACATTGTGAATTAGTTGCAATAGCAAAGACAATTAAAATTGATTTTGATTATCTATTCTTAATTTGAAAATCTGGAAACTTATAGATAGATATATCTCATTACTCCACAAATATTCTTCGGGAATATGACCATACTGAATATTCATTTCACTTTGCTAACACAAAATGCGTAAATGAACACTGAAGACATACCTTTCTAGGCCAATTTAGATAAGCTTTCTTTGCATAATTCATTGATGTTAGCTTAACTAAATGATATTCAACATTCAACAAAATATTCTTTAAATCCATCTCAGCCAAAAATATATACCAATAACTACTCACTTCATTAAAATAACACTGAAAAGACTCAGGAGAAAAAAATTAAAAGCAGAGTTCAGATGGCATGTAGAAGAGAGAAAAGTAGTCAAACTCCTATTAGCAGCACGAAAAGCTTAATGTTTGCAAGAAACCGTCGAAAGACTATTTTAGTCTACTTCTCAATTATGATATACAACAGAAACCATTTAATATTTAATTGTCGTCTTTGCTAATTTATTAATATTAAGATACGAATAATGAAAAATATGTGCATCTACTTCACATCCTTATATGTGATTTGATACGAAAAGTACCTAAGCCAGATTCTCCGTTACAGAACTTACTAAATGACTTGAGTGATATGAAACAAAAGACAAACTAATTTTGCAACAAATAATGTGTAATCCCTTTACTACGTTTAGTGATTTTACTGAATTTTTCATACTAATTAAGAGAAATACATTACACCAGTACGAATGTAATAATTTATAAAATGTATTAGATAATAGAGAACGGAAAGTAAAAAATTTACTGAAGTAGTGTGCTTCACAGAATGATCGATTTAGCATTGTTACTACATAAAGCAATTTGAGCGGTACCATCATAAAAATACTTCGGAAACCCCTACCCTATCACTGACACTATAAGGTGCAATCTTCTCATTCATCAGGGACAGTCATTTAAAATTACTTCACTAAATACACTGTAGCACCCAGTCTCATCACACCATCCCATTTAAATTACTGAACTAATTACCGCTCATCTTTCCTCTAGCTATATCATAAGTTTGAAAACTAAAACCTTAATAACAAAATTAGTTAACGAAGATATAAAAAACTTCACAATTAGAATAATCCATAATCCTTACCTAAAGATCCTTCGTAAAGTATTTTGTAATATTACTAAAATGCAAATAATATGAACAACCCGTCCCTTACTGAAATAACTGGAGTGAAAATCTTTTTTCGAATACTTTTATCTTTGACGTATAATTAACAAGGACCAACAAAATAATACCAAGTATGAGAAAGACAGTAAGTCTGATTTACTTCCTGAATGCAAACGTTCTAAATACAAGTAGAAAGACTGACAATGAGGAACAAGATAAACGCGAGATCATAGACGCATACGTAAGCCGTCATAATTTTCACTTTTTATCTTCACAAAAGAAATATTTCCTTTCCGTTTGTAGTTCTATCTGAAGGTTCGAAAATTTTGGTTAGGAAAACAGAATTTGCTTCGTCGTTGATGAACATTCAGAATCTGTACTTATCCACAATGCGATGTCACCTTCTTCAAAAGCAGACTGCAAAATATATATAGAATAGATTTTTGATTCATTCAATAGACTGGATATTAAGCCTCTTGAACATACCCACACACTATAAGTAATATTCAACTTAAGATAGAGATGGCTGTTAAATTTACGTTAAATTTCTCATGTAACAGAAACCTAATATTGGAATACACTGAATATAATTATTGTTATCAGGCTTAAAACAAAAGGAACAGGTAAGAAATGAAATTACAAAACATTTATAAAAAAATCAGCAGATATTTTATGCATTTATCATTAACATAATGATAAAAATAACTTTACTAACATCTCTCTCTTGTTTAGTATAAGAAGGCGAACAAAACGAATGGACACGTGAAAAGTTGCAAAATGAATTTGACCCTCGCAACGTATAAAAATCATTAAAACTGTTTTTGCAATATTCTTTTAATACAGTTCCCGAATGTCTAAACTGTGCTGCAACCAAATCTTGATTCCGCTTCCGCCCCATGGTTTGAACCAAATTATGGAACCACAAATCCATCCATTTGGCAGTAACTCGATACGCTTCATTTGGCCTACGAAAAGACAAAAGATACTTGATATTGAGACAAATATTAATCAGCATTTTGATCTAGAATGAGTTCGAAGTCATATAAGCCATATTAAGTAATATGAATAGGTATTTTCTGCTATTTTCAGCTTTTGAGAATAGCTGAAAAATTCACTTTTTTGATAATTCTTTAAATCATCTCCAATAATACTTAATGTTATGTCTTCATGCAAGGTAAAAACTGCTGTAAATAAAAAAGTAAATTTTACTAATTTCATTCTGAAATACTAGAGAGATCTATGATTCAACGTGAAAACTTTCGAAACGAACGTCTGAAAGAGAGAATGAGATAAAAGTGTTTTTGGAATTTCCTTCATAGTATGTAGCGCTATTGGTACTACGAAAACAGAGTTCAGTGCTTTAAAGTTCAAAGAGTTTTGATATCGGTGCGTTGCTGATTGTCCTATAATAAAGCTGCAGAAACAAAATTATTTTAAAAGACAGAAACAGTTTCAATTTCCGATTTTGTATTTGGACTGATGATCAGTAATGGTAATTTTAATGAATAATAAACTGAGCTGTGACCCCTCTCAAAATACATGGAAATCACATTAATTTTTTCAAAAAAGTTGAGTGCACTATGAGAAACTAAGAAAAATACTGCAAGCACTATCAACAATGATGTAAAAATCTTACCAGATTTATGGTAATTAGGATTACATGGAGCTGTGTCACAAGAATTTACTGCGCTACTGGCAACTTGGTCAATTCTAGCACTGGTCGGACCAATCCATTTTCCTCCATCACCTGAAGTAACTCCATTACGTCTTGAAAACTTTATGGAATTTTATATCCATACAAATCCATTATAGAAAAGATGAGAAATCTCATATTTCTTTGGTTTACATAGTAATACTGACGGTCACATTTGTGCTCAAAACAATATTAATATTACTGAGAACAGTGATAACAAGACGAATTAGGAAATGAGCCTTTTGAAGAATCATCGTCGTCCTCTCGTCGACGTCCATTGCTATGACAATATTTAGAGGCTAGAAAATTTAATCGTTTTTCACTATCGTCATCTGATGTCTCACCTGATGAGCAACTGAAATATTTGAATATCTTTTCACTTAAAATTACGGCTTATTGCGTCATTTTCAAGGTGATAAATATAAGTTTTAGTAAACAAAAATCAGTAGCTAACATTCACAAATAACTTATTTCATTAAATAAGAGAAAATTTCAATTTTCAAACCTAGTACTTCTCCTTGCTTTTGTTGTCGGAAACCGTGAAAGCGATTCCTTTTCATATCTCTGTGCCATATCTGGTGAAACTTTTGCTTGTCGGGGTCGAATCATTCGAACTTTACTGTACGTGACAGATCCAGCCACATAATCCTCCTTCATATGCTGGAATAAAATACAAACACAAAATTGGAAATATTTCAATTGAAAAATATTAACAATCCGAAAGCATTCTTCTCCCTTAATTTACGACGGGATACAAACACAACAATGTTATCAAGTTTCTAATATGAAGCACTAGACACAATCTCATAATTCTCACACCATGTTCAAAGGATAAAATTACAATTTTAAGAGATGAATAACAGCAACAAAAATAACTTTTGGCTGCGGGAAAATTCGTGGTATTGTTGATAAGGTAATGGATGCGCCAGATATACTACGACGAGCTGCCGTTTGACGCTGCTCTCCACCTCGGTCGAATTCAAATTCTTCTTTTTCCTGCAGAAATGAAATTTATAAATTTAAAAGGGAAACAATAAAATACATATCAAAAAATTAATTGAAAAAGTACCTCGCAAATTCCAAGAAGATGCGGCGATGAACCTAATTTTCGTAATCCGCAAGGACCAAGAACTGAAGCCTTCAATCGACTAACTGCTAAATATTTACACTTTGGCAAAAAGTCTAAAATATTTTAGATAAAGATAGATGTAAAATTTTTACAAACTGACGTGGTAACATAACTATTTCACAGTCAGCAATAAATACAAAAAGTTTAAAATATACCAGGACTAGTACGACCACTGGAATTTGGAGGACTAGAACTTCGACTGCTCAAGCGACTATCTGGAGAGAGCGTTCGCTTTTTACTATCAATGAGATTGGAAGGTGAAACTTCAAGTAAACTTTGAATATCATGTGATGACATTCGTCCACGTGAACCAGAAATAGAAGCAAATACTGATAAAGACGAAGAAGAATATCTAAAAAATAAAATTACTGAAGCTACATTTCGTTTAAAAAAAAAGACAAATGATATCTAGAGCTGTATAAACATAATAAATGCACCTTGACGACTGGCGCGAAGAATTACGATGATATGTCGAGAGTTCTTCTTCACTTTCTTCTTTCAAAATTGAACACGGCCTACGAGAAATGGAAGTACTACCGCGCCAAGAGTTGGACCGACTTCGACCTTTACATCCATTATTATCATCACCTTTTGTATAAGTAGTCCTGTTAAATTAACACATCTATTACTTTTTCTTACATGAATGAAAATGCTTCATAACTAAATTTTTGGTTTAATAACGTTTTATGACCGACCAACATGAGTGAAACTTTTAGGCTTCAAAACCTTATATCAGAACAATTCTGAAGAGCATCTGGCAATTCATCCAATTTGGGGCGCTCGATTGCGAGCGCTTTTTTGGCACGCTCTTCACGATACGATGCCAATACTCTTTCTGCAAGCAAATAATAGGTAGCAGTAACGTAAGAGAAATCATCTTTCTCCAGAGATCTGCAAATTTGCTTTTATCATTTAAATTATTTGATAGAAAACTAAAAGACTTAAATAAATGTTCTAAAGAATATTTTGATAAATATAATCGAAGAAAAATCAGCCTATTGATCGAAGCTTTTTAGAAAAGCTGGACAAATTCATCGCTAGATGACATCTTTTAACATATAAAAACAAACAATTAATCCGATGAACTATGAATAAAAAGAATATTTGCTTGCCTTAAAATATTTTCTTTTGTGTCAACGCCACCAGCAACCATTTGATCAATAATTGTCGTATGCGCATTATGTGGTAAGAGATCGCGTCCAACTAAAGGTAAAATCTGAGCAAGACCAAGATCGCCCGCTTTCACCCAAGGATTTTCAGTGATTTCTTTAAGCGTTGCACGCGCATGAACATCTTTCACTAACAAACGCGATATAAGACTGTAAAATAACAATGTAAAAATCAAATTTTTGCCAACAGTTAATACCATAAATAAACTAAGAATATATAAAACGAATAACGTGAATAATCAATGAATGAATCAATCAATATCACAAGGAGGCTATTCATTTCTTCTTCATCATTGATCTGGCACTCTGGCTGTACTTGTCCCACGCTCAGATTTGTTGTACTGATCGTTTTCGCTTCATGCTCGTGAAATCCATAACGATTATCAAAGCAGATGCTGTCGATCGTCTTCTTGAGAACTATTTCTTAATGTATGCCTCGACGTGATCAGATATACTGATCTCTTTCGCGTAGCCTTTGTGGAAGTACGCTACAATCCCATCCCAAGTAAGCACATATGGAATTAGTTTGGTTCTGCATTTCATCTCTGACCCAAGCTTCTTAACAAGTAAATCATATTTTCACTTTCTTTCGGTCTCAACTGCTGTCAACCTATCCTAACTAGTGATGCCAACCTTTGTCAAGAGTACTTCGTGTAGCTTCTTATCTAATTGAAATTCTTACTCGCGTTTCGACTCTGATCTCATACGTTCTCATTCGCAACGACTGCCTGAACAAAATGGCTTCGCATGCGCGGGAATGCTTTCAGACCATACTTCTTGCATAGTCCCAAATGGCTGCGTCAAGGACTTCATTGTGTCTTTCAGTATAGTCTGATATATTTTTTCGCTCTGCAATGCTAGATGGGCCACCGTCTTCACACGTTCCTCACAAGGTGGGCACAAACTTTTCTCAGCTCCAAACTTCATTCTGTCCTGGAGGTGAAGTATCGCGCTTAATCCTGTGGGTAATATTTCCGAATCGTAGCCACATTAATGAGTCCGACATTATGGCCAACTCATTTTGCGCATCTTGTGTAGCTAGTTTTGCATGACAGAGTTTTCTTTTCTATTTTGTTATACAGAAGCACGTATTCAGCAGTTCGATTTTCTACGAGGCTGTACTTAGTTTGAAGGTAGGGCGCAATAACTGCTAAGTACGTGTTGTGAGTCTTATCCTGCTTCAAAACTGCCACCTCCCTAATAGATATGGGCGCACTTTCTACAAGTACATTATGAAGCTGCAAAAACATATCTTTTGTTCAGCGCAGTGAAGCCCAGGTCTTATCTTGTCCCTGACTGGTACAGTCTTCCAAACATGCACGTTGTGACCCTGACCTAATATCATGGTCAACTGTTTGCAAATCCACTGGTTCCAGTTTGAGCACCTCAGTATAGTCCATTAATCATATGGCGTATTCATTCACTGTCTTGATAATGTTCTTGCCATTTAGTGCAGTTTTGACTAATCGCTCACATCTCACTAAGATCTTGCTGGACCTTATCGTAGCTTTTACGATAAGTGCACTAGTCTTGTCTTTCACTATTCCAAGGTATTTGTTCCCTTGAGAAAGATGTGTGCAAAAAACAACGCAGTGAGAAAAAATGCTACATTACGACTATACTAGAAGACTATGAGGTTCGATGCAAAATCATTTGGGATTCCGCAAGTAGTATGGGCTAAAAGCGTTCCCGCGCACGCAAAATTATTTTGTTCGGGAGCTCGTCTAGAACGAAAACCTAGAGATCAGTGTCGGTATGCGAGTAAGAACATTGACAAAGATAAGTGCGGATCGACGGAACATTATAATTGATGATAAGTGACATGCAGTAATCCTAATAGAGGTTGGCATCACTGATCAAGATAGGCTGACAGCAGTCGAGACCGAGAAAAAGCGAAAACATGATATACTTGTTAATAAGCTTGGGTCAGAGGTGAAATGCAGGATCAAAATAGTTTTTATGTGATGACGGGGTGGGATAGTGACGAGCGTTCATAAACCTTAAGCAAAGGATATCAATGTATCGAATTACTTCGAGGAATAATTTTAGAGCTCTAGATGATTGAAAGCATCTCATTTCATCATCATTGTGAATTCGACGACGATGAAGCAAAGGAGATCAGTAAAATAAATCTGTGATCGGGACAAGTACAGCAAAAGAAACCAAAACACGATCTGGCGCCAGAATCAATAGAGCGAAACAGAAGATTAACCTCTATATGATAATTAGATAACACATAAGCAGATACGCTTATATGTACTACAACTTGTTTATATATAAATATATATAAACATAACATACATAAACCTTGTTTATATATATATAAAATAGACATGTTCTATGTTTTTATGCAGAAAGAATTAAGACCTTATTCGCTTCTCATGAGCATTTCAGGAAGGATAAAAACTATAACAAAATTATATATTTTGGAATGTTGATGTACGTAAAATATTTTTCAATAAAAAATTAATATTCTGAAAGATGAGCCAAGTTTGATAAAAACAAATCATATCTTAACGAAGCTTCAAAAATTCATAAATGATAAACAATAATATCACAATCAAATTAAACTCACAATCGAGCATGCGAAGAAAGAGTATCTGGAAGGGAATATTTGCAATCTAATATTTTTGTCAGAGTTTCTGAGTCATTTGCTTCTTGAAATGGCAACCGCCCACACAATAACATATATAAAATGACTCCCAAGGACCAAAGATCTAAAAATGGTGAAATTTAGCATAACTGGGTTCGTCACCTCGTAAATATATGTAATCGAAATGATTATAATTTTTTGAATTCTGGTTAGCTTTATAGAATTTTATCAACGTTCATTACACTCTAGAGCAATTCTTTGCCATGAGCTATTAATCTTAAGGTTAATGCAAGAATATACATTATATTTCTCATATAACGTATATTCTGTGAAATAAGAATGTTTGAATCTCTTGTCTTCTTTTTTATCTGGCCGAGTATTTATTAATCCTGTTGTCTGACCATAACTGTACTTTTAACATGACATAATACGCAAAGATTTACACAATTATGAATACATTACGCCTAACATCCATTGCTGACACTAGCCTTTGACTAAATACATCAAATGCATGTGATTTGAAAATGATCAGTGCTTACCCACAGCGGGAGCATCGTAAGCATCGCCAAGCAATATTTCAGGAGCTGAGTAAGCTAAGCTACCACATGAAGTTTCAAGTTGTTCTCCAGGTATGAATTTATTGCTGAATCCGAAATCTGTCAATTTCACCATGCCCAAACGTTCGAAGAACACAACATTCTCGGGCTTTAATCAGTAAAGCAATTTAAAAAAATCACAATCTAAAGAAAGTAACAACCAAAATTATTGAATGTTATACCTTCAAATCTCGATGAACAACATGTAACTCATGACAATACTCAATTGCTTTAATGATTTGACAAAAGTACTGTTGGGCTTCACTTTCGGGACAACCCTAGAAGTTACAAAATAATACAATGATACTTGATTTTTGTAATACTTGACTGCAACTTTAGTAACAAATTTACCGATTAGAGCCTACAGATACAAAAACCCTAACAACGAAAAAATTCAGAAGCTTTAAATGTTGTTTTGAAATAAAAATTCCTGAAAAGGAAGTTTTTCTACACACCCGAGAAATTGATAAATGAAAATTTAACTCTAAACCGATGACTTTATGAGTTCTCAGCAATCATTTAATTCCACCATTCCCCACTTTTATCTTGTTTTCCCTGTCACAAGGACTGCTGACATAAATTAATACGTATTTGGACTGCTAACCTTATCAGCGTTCTTCATGATAAAATCGTACATATCATAATCTCCTAGCTCGAGAATTAGAAACAGTTTCGTCTGTGTATCGATAACTTCGTATAAGCGAACTATGTTTGGATGTTGCACTAATTTCATGCAGCGAACCTGCAAAAATGAATACTTCATCCAGGATGCGTCAGCATTTGAATGTAAAACAAAAATCAAAAATATATTTTCGCGTATTTCAAACGTCCAAAACCAAACTTAATTCCTAACAACATAGTGAATACATGCAAATGTGAAAGTTTGTAATTGAAATTCTAAAGATGCAAATCTCTCAAGAAGGAAAATCAACAAAATCTTCATTGCTTGCTTCTTTTATTAAATGAGAAGCCATAGAAGAATCAAATTTTGTTTTGTCGATCACCTTCACTGCGACCTAAAAAGAATTTAATTCCTAAACATTAAAAAAATTGATCAAAAAGTACCTTCCATAATCATGGAAAAATTAATTAATAGATATATAAAATTTGCTAGGAAGCAATATAAGGAAATATATTCGATAAATATGTATTTAACTAGAAGGAAGCATATTTGACAGAGCAATTAATAATAATAAAACTGCTGAAGTAACTTTAAAAATGGCGAAATATCAGAAAAAAGTAACCTTTTCACCTGTAAACACATGATTGGCCGATTTTACCACAGCGAAATGTCCCTTGCCAATAGTTTTCTGAAGATCATATAATCCAGCGATGCGCGCATCATTGATGCTCAGGGAGGATTTTCGCTGTATCGGTGGTTTGTCACTCATCTTATAAACATAACTTATACTGCTGCTGTAATTAAGGAGATATTAACAAAACATAATTTTTAAAAAAAAGTAAGCCTAAAATATACTTTCTGCGAAATATTTCTTTCACCCCTACAATTATTAAAGCTTTTAAAACTCTCCTAAGCACGCACAGGATCAAGTAGTCATGAAACTACAAAGCTTACATTATAATCATTTTTTTCAACAATTTAACTATTGCTTTCAACGATGTTTCAAGTCAAGAGATTTATAGATGTACTCAGGGTTGTTTTGAATTGTAAAGCTAGCATACAAAAAATTTGTAGAACCTTTTAAGGTTTTTTGTTACATCACTATTCATCTTCTGCTTTGCTTTGAATTCAGAACATGTGCTACAACCTATCGCTTTATTACGATTGTCAAAATGCCAATTTCACACTAAATTGGAAATGACTAAATTTTGCAACAACTTTTTAATCTCAGGATAGTTAAAAATTTCAAAATAAATATGCACATACAAGTTTAATATGTGAATCCAAAAAAATTAACTCGAATAACTAAAGCAAAAGTAATATTAGCTTGCAATATCCCATGCGAGCAAAAACAAGTGCACATAGTAAAAAAACGAACGTAAAATAGTAGAACAAATCTTGTCATAATGAAGCAATACCACGAAATATGAATAAATGATGTAAATACATAACAGTACACTGATGTAATTACATAACAGTACACTGCAACAGACTCGCAACGTTTGCTTCTGTTAGCATTACTAAACTACTAAACAGTCACACTACTGCATATGAAAAGAGATGTACAGCTATGAGTGAACTTTGCAATGCAATCATATCCAATCAGTTCGTGACAAATTATGCAGATATAATAATAATGAGAAGCATGATTTACATACGTCTCTACCACTTACAAATCAATTGCAGCATTACTTTCGGGCACTGTTAGCATTTGTAGGAATTATGTCAGTCTACCACTGCATGTGTGAATGAGTGTATGTATGCGCATATGTACGTAGACAATGTGTTGAAAAGTAGTCTTTGGAGCTGATCAAGTAAACGTACATTAGCTATATAAGTGACGTAAGTGTATTTCTGAACAGATAAATATTTAAATGCGTATAATAAAAAGTTGAATATAGCGAAAGACGAAGAAACGACCTCGTGTCAAGCCAGAATTTTGCTTTTCTCTATCTGTTATTAGATAACAATACTTTTATAACAGAGCCAATGTGCTGCCCTATACGCGCGATCTCAAAGCACATACAATGTCGATTCTGGAAATCCCATTTTCTGCTGTGAACATATAAACTTAACAATGGGCCTTTTTATACATAATCTTGCGCTAAATGTGTTACGAATTCACTTCATGACAAATCCAACTTCATAATGCATTTTATTTTGAGGATATTCGACAAAGAAGAATGAAAGCTTTCCTTCGATTATCTTAAGACACTCAGACTTATAAGCAATGAATACATTATAATGCAAATAGGGCAGCACACGTCTACGGACATATGGAAACGTTGGTATTTTTGGATGACTATGATCATGATCATAATAAAGTTCCAATAATTTTTTCTCACTATTTGTTCTGCTAAAGAAGTTAGTGGAAGAATTTGCAACTTTGACTACTACTGAAAAGTAAACATAATGCAGAACTGATACCTTCAGATATGAACGAGCAGACACTGTGCAAAACCACTTCACATGCTCCGATTTAACCAATCGCTTAGGTCCTCATAATTATTTACACTTACTTGAACAAGTCAACGTAGCAAACTACAACCGATGTCAGCTAGCATCAGATAGCAGAGACGATTTTTCAACGTTAAAAATCAAAGGACCACTTTTGTAAAGGACATTTTTTGCCTTGGTAATCATGGATAAATGACTGCATTAACAGAAAGACTACATTTCTCATTCAATTTTTAGTAATTTCAGTTCAGACTGCATCTAATCTCGAACTGCTAAAATTATAAAAAAAGCTGTGCACTAACTAAATACAAAGACCGCGATTTCTTTTTGTTAGAAATGATAGGTTAATGGAAGTGAAATATAACGTGGAGTATAAAGTTGCATTTCACCTTCAACATAACAATCTCATCCCGTTTTCACCTTACCCTCCTTGCTAAACTTCAGAAGCAAAATGCAAATTAAAGAACTTGAAAGCAAAAGTTCTACTACTGTCCAATGAATCCAAGCGTCCAGAGATGCTCTAAAATGTCACAGTTTTCTGACACATATGAAACTGATCAGAAGATTTGAATACTACTCACCTCAGTTAACACTTACTGTTATCCTCATGATCTATTTCATAATGAGATGTTGCTGACTAAAATGCATACGTTGCAGATCTCAATTCTGCACGCACAACTTACTTGCTAATTCACTATTTGCTAAGCGCAGAGGAAAGTTCCAGTAGAGAAAAAGTGGGGCACTTTCTATTGCTGACTGTCATCTAATTATTACGAGCCTCATAGCTTCCTCTATCCAACTCTTCTCGTCTTTAACGTAATTAACGGCAAAATTACTTTTTTCACCCATTCTTTTAACGGACCCTCCGAGGTTTCGTTAAATTTTGTCACACATTGCATTTGATTATGCGGTAGCCTACCGAGTTTTCCAATTTAAGGTGTGAGTTTTTCGTTGTTAGAAAGATGCAGTCGAACCGTACAGTAATACTTCATTATGTATTGCTTATGTGAGTGCAAAAAGCGGTTATTTCATGTCTTCATAATCAGATTTCTCGGTCATGCCGGTAATCTCGAAATTTGCAAAATTGATTGCATAACTTTAGTGCGATTGTTATTGATGTTAGTTTCTTGTGAATCATATCTAAATTTATATGTCTGGAAACTACCTTCGGTTTTTAAAAATTATAATAATTATACCGCATATGCTCAGTAAGAGTTGTTTTCTTAAATTGTAAGGTAATAATGGAAAACGGTGAAACTTTGCGTCAAAACTATACTCCGTCGCCTTTGTTTGGCACCGATTCCGAGATGAACCATTGTTACGCCAAATTCAAGGGTAAGCAGTTAGTTATTAACTGATTCTCAGCTTTCGACAAATCGTTTTGCTTTTCGTATATATTTATTCTTTTACTGTTCATGCAGTTTTTCGACTGGCTTCATCACCATTTATTTAGATATTAAATTTACTTAAATGTTCATTAAATTGAAATGTCTGTGATGGTAACTGTCGTGTGGCGAAATTTTGTAAGATCAAGCTAATAATTTTCCGCTCATCTAGCGTTTCAACACTCTTATTGTGGTTTAATTTCATAAGTTTAAAAAGTGGATTACATCATTTAATGGGTTTTATATTTCGTTTGTAAAGAAATGTTTCGTTTGTAAAGAATTCTGAAAAATACCTAACATATTTTAGTTAAAAAGAGGTCATTTTAAGCTGTAATTTTGCAATGTAAAAGTAATTTTTGCAGAACTTGACGAAAGTTATGCACAGACTCGAAGTGATCGTGTCCGTATGGCAATGTTTCCTAATTTATGTAGTGAAAAAACTTGTATGGCATCTTTACATCGTTCAACAATTCTCTCCAAGCTCACTGAACCATCTCAATTACTAACAACTGCTGTTATTGAATTAATCAGTCTTCAAGATGAAACCGAACTAACTACAAAAGCAATTCCTGAACTTATCAAGTTACTAGCAGATAAAGACGAGGTTGGTTGCAACAAATCACAATATTTTGTTAAAGTTTCAGTTTCAGAAAAGAATTTTCATCTCTGTTTATCAAGTGCAAAATTTTTTTATGTTTAGGGCGAAAAATATTGGTGTTCGTTTCTCTTGAATTTCTAATTTTTATTGGTTCAGTAAAATTCTTGCAACTAAAGTCAATGTGAAAATTTTTGAAAGTTTTGGAATTGAACAATTTTTGGTATACTTAATGACTTAAATTTTACGGTTTTGATGATAGTTTGCATTTTAAAGAGATGTTATACTTGAAGCTTAAATCTGATCAAATATTCATGGTGAGTTTAAGAGGTTTGTTTTACAGACAGTAATTATGCGAGCTGTGCATATGGTGCATTTGTTATCACGCGAGAACAAATCGGTAAATGCAATAGCTTCAAATCCAACACTTGTGAATTCTTTGTGCAATGCTACTCGGTATTTTTCTAATGTAATAATTTTTTCTTTTTCACTCATTCAGTGTTTTTACACTGTCTATATATCATCGTAGGAATCTACTCACAAATTAATTTAAAGGTGTGAAAACGATGCTATTCGACGGGATGCACTTGGTGCACTTCTACATATATCGGAACATGCGGAAGGTCGTATGCATATATTTCGTTCAGGTGGAATTCCAGAGCTAGTCGCAATGATTGGTATACCAGTAGATGCTGTACGCCACTACGCTATCACTACTCTACATAATTTGTTGTTGTTTATGGATTACGCAAAAGAAGTACCTTTTATTTTCTTCAAAGATCATGTCAATTTAGGGTAAATCATCTTCATTTTTATTTCAGGAAACAAGAGCTTGTAGTGGTTTAGAAGCAATGACACCGCTTCTTCATGAAAATAATCCTCGCTTCTTAGCATTATTAGCCGATTCTTTGTATCTTTTATTACTGGACAGTCCCCAAAGCAAACTTTCTTTTTTATCATTGAGTGGTCCTTCATTATTAATCGATCTTCTGGACACGAATCGTCATCATCCTAAAGTTGTGTATACTGCTGTACGCTGCATTCGAGCAATATCTGTTTGTCCACAGAATAAAGCTGCTCTTGTTTCTCTTGGTGGGAGATCTTTTTTATTGATTATTGATTTCTGAGGTCATAAAAGATATGATGTCTTATAAATAATGGAGAAAATAATCTGAACCTGTGAATTATTTTAAGAGATTCTAATAGTATTTACATGATGTTGATAATTTTTGTTTTTAGGAACATTGAATGTTTTGGGAGATTTCATCAGTAATGTTGATGAAAGGACGCAATCTGCTGTCCTCTGTGCTATTCGCAATCTATCAGATGCAGCAGCTAATGAAGATAGCTTAGGACCTTTGATTATTAGCTTGATTCAACTTATTTCTGCAGGTGAAGAATCCGCAACGGCATGTGCTGCAGGGATATTGTCCAATTTAACTTGCAATAATATTCGGAACAAGCAGACTTTGTGTTTACATAGGTTCAAATCAGTTTGATATATTCTGTATCGAATTAGTTCTGTGTATCCTATGTTCCATTTTCGTTTGGAATTAAATGACTTATCTTGTTGGACATGATTTTTTTAATAGAGCAAATACTGCTTAAGGGGTATGGATGCGTTGTGTGCTGCCTTAGAGCGATTTTCATTGGTGGAAGAAGTGACAGAACCAACTCTTTGTGCATTGAGACATTGCACGGCTCGTCACCCTCTTGCATCTCAAGCGCAAAGTGATATCCGCTTATCACAAACTTTACCAGTTATTTTAACCCTGATTTCGTCCATGCGGACACCGGTTGTTAAGGCAGCACTCGGACTAATTAGAAATCTTGCTCTTCTTCCTGCTAATTTATATTCCTTGACTCATGTTAGTATTTTTGATTCCTGATTAACAATTAAGGTTTGATTTTTCAAATATGTACTATAGTCTGTGAACATTAGAGTAGTGTGAGCATCGTGATCTTGTTTGCAAACCTTATGTTAACTATGTTTAGCAAAAAACTCCTAAAGATGAGTCAGTGGTCACGTTGACTATGGATGTACTAGGGCGAGCAGGCTCTCAGTTACGGCAGGATCCAGATGCATTAGCAGATGGTGTAGCTATGCGTGAATTAGTTGAAGGTGCTATTTCAGCTCTTCATCAACTTGGAAATGATCTTCAGTCTGCTGAGCTTATGCTTCGCGATCATTCATTTATTGATATGCTGGTTAAGGTCAGGCAGTGAATTTTTTAAGTTTTTCATGCCGTCGTGAATTGATTAGGTTTTTTAATCAGGACTGTCTTTGCAAATAATGGTTATCTTTCGTTATTTTGATATTATTGGAGGTATCTCAAATATTGTCAACTTATCAAGCCTCTTTAGTTGCTTTCTTGGGAAGAAATATACGTTAACGAGGATGAACTGTTGCAACGTGAGCTACTTGGTCTTCTCTATCAACTTTCAAAAACTCCTGAAGGTGCACGGCAGTTGGAAATGTATGGTGTGACCCCTGTGCTTTGCGGTATCCTACATTCAAAACACAGAGCTATTTGTTAGTTTTCAGTTTGAAATTAAATGAAGATATTGACAAAAAAACTGAAAAGATTTTTAACTGTCGGATTGTTAGAACATGAAATAAAGGGAATAAAAATTAGTTTTCAAATTTAGTCTTATAGTACTTTTTTAAGCAACATATGCATCTGGCGTGTTGAAGAATTTGCAATTTGACAAACCTTTATTATATCGGGGTGAACTGGACACAGAAATTGAAAGTGTATTGAACAGTGGTGAAGAGTGGATGCATGATGGTTTGGAACCGGAACTTTTTGCTGAATTGTATCACTCTTCGGAATTAGAACAGTTGGATCATCCACAGCCATGGCAACATCCACCACCTTATCAAACTAATAATCGAAGTCCTTTGTGGTTCGATACTGATCTTTAAGTTTCGAAATAAATTGAGAATGATTTGGAACTTCAAGTTCTAGTTTGCATTAGTGTTGTGGATGTTATTAAATTATTAATGTAAAAGAAAGGAAAAACATCCTACTGTGAAGTACAGTCGCTAACTTTGAAAGTCAGCTCCGATAATGATTTAAATTCATAGTTAGTTATTATATTACATCCAAATTGTTGAAGTGCTTCCTTCGAAAGGATTTTTCCAGTTTCATTACACATTCCAAAGTGTTCATACCTATTTCTTGATAATCATATGTACCATTTCATTTTTTTTTCGCTAACTTAAATTGTTAAATTTGAAATCGACAAACGAAAAATGAATCCATGTTGTATCTTCCTCTTTCGGAACTTCGAAAATCAGTCACATGAGGATTACATTTTAAGAACTAACCCTTTTTTTAAATTCTTCTGTAGGAAGAGTCAAATATGTTCTGTTTGTCAGGTTATTTTGTATTTATGACATTCTTATTAGTGTCTTTGTCATTCTATTGTGCTTTACACTAATTTAGTATTACTTGTTTCTGTCTCATTAATTCTTTGATCTAATTGATTGCTTTGCATACTGCTAAATTTTTGATATTTTTTGTTTTTCGACTCATATTAAGGTTGATGTAATATTATTAAAGATATAAAGTTTTCTTATTTTGGCTGTTTCCAATTGTTCATTTACGACATGGTTTCTTTGTCAGAGATATTCTAGAATTTCAAATATTGTTGTTTGTAATAAAAAGCCGTTAAGATTTTCATGCGAACACATCAAATCTTTTAAGTTTTTTACACAGCAGAGCGTTCTGTACACTAGGTGAAGTATTACTGTATGAGTTCATGGTAGTAGCGTACTTTATTTCATTCTAATATACAAGTGGGAGGTTTATTAATGTAAATATTGGTTCGGTCATTGCGTTTATTTACTAGTGTTCTCAGTATATTGATCGGAACTTTGCTGTATTCCAGAATGGAAGTTTACATTGCTGAGGCTTTTTTGTTGGATGCTTTGAATTAGTGAGCTTGAGAACACCCAGCGAAATGTATCAGTAATTTACTGAATTTTAATGTTTTGGTTCTGTAGATGAGTTATTCCATTATACTTATAGAGGAGTATTAATTAACTAACTATTTTGTGTAATTTCAACTTCAAATAAATAATACAGGGGAAAGAATATTGAAGTTCATACGTAGTCAGGCGCTGAATGGTATGGTTGATATAGAAGTGCATGAATGTGACTTGTTCGAGCATGAACCCTTTGTTGTTGACTGCTTAGCCTTAGATGAACGACAGGGAATTTTGTGCGTCGCGCGTCATTCTGACTATAAGTAAGTATTGATTATTAGTTTAGTCGTTATATGCTAAAATGAAGTATGTATGAACCGCAATATGAAGATTATCCTAAACAAATGTTACTTCAGTAGTGAAATTTTGTTACACCTATTTTTGAAAAGCATATTATAGACCATATTCATATTTCTGTTTCTTACTAAGCTGAGGTTTTTAATGTTGAGAATTTTTCTTACTAGTGTAAAAATTTTAGAATTACTTTGACTTAGTGAAATGATTACTGTTCAGGAATTTTGAAATGGATTGAACTATTGTTAAAAGATTTATAGTAAGCAAAAACGTAATGGAATGATTGAATTTTGGAATGTCATTGGCACTCCAATCTTTCATGTTCGGAATACATTTCTTGGAAATAAAACTGTTGAATCACTGCTTTGGCTTGACGATGTGTTACTTGCTGCACATATCGATGGCTCGATAACAGGTCATTGCCTTCACACTTCGGAATACTTCGTAAGTTTCATATTTTTAAAAATCAATTCCAGTACGAAAAGGAAGAAATATGGCATTTTAGATACGGATAGTGAGTGCTCTAAACCTTCTTGTCTCTTTCCACCGAATTTACATAAAAATTGAATTAATTCATTATTTGCCATATATAGTAATTGGCAGATTATCACTATTCCTGATGTTCTTTGTTCTTCTGCTTTGGATACGAGTAGAGTTTCATGTATTTTGTATTTTAATGTCAGACTGCTCGATTTACGCCAAGTTCATTGTGGTGCTTGGCTTCCATATCAGGTCTCTCTTTTTGTGCTGGTTCAGACTCTGGAGCTGTATTGCTGCTTTCTTTGGAAGAAAATAATCGCATTGTTTTAAATAAAACAATATCAATAGGTAGTTTTTTGAATTTTCGACAATTTTGAAAAGGAACACTTTTGCATTTGTTTAGAATACGTTGTGAAAGATTAAATGTGAATTTAAAGTTCTTTTTAGACTTAATGCTTCGTATCATCAAATTTAAACATTCCTCTATAAATCATACATAAATTTTCATTTGAGCAAAAAAGTAGCTATATTTAGGTTTCGGTGTTCATGTCATGTCACTAGCTTGCAATAATGATGTCGTTGCCGCTGGAACAGTTGATGAAATCAGTTTGATATCTATTTCAAAACAACGGATCGAACATACAATTAAACTACCGCGGATTGAAAAACGAAAACCAACCATTGTTTGGTGTTTGTGCTTCATGTAACTTATTTTATCTTTTAATACACTTTTTATCTTGTTTTTTAATGTTATAGCTAAAGATTTACTTCTTATTTTGTTGCACATTTCCAACAAAAAATGTGTTTTATAGAAAGAAGTATATTTTTGTTTGTTTTTATAAAAAACCAAACCGGAATTTCAGTGGCAAGTTGCTGGCATCAGGTGATTCGAGGGGATATGTGACATTCTGGAATGCATCAAATGGAGCATTTTCACATGTAAGAAAATAAGACTGCTATGTTTTTACTTATCATATTCTGTTTATTAAATGTGATTTTTGGATTTCAATATTTTTTGGCATAACTGCTTCAGTGTCTTCAAACCCATCAAGCTGACGTTTTATGTATGGCTGTAGCCAATGAATCAATCTATGCTGCTGGTGTTGATCCAACCATTGCTAGACTTGGGTTAAATCAGGTTGAAATATTTAATGTTCATCACAGACAGTTAAACATGAAGTAGGTACTTGAGATTTAGATATAAATTGATATAAAGTATATTATTTGTTTTTTGATTGTTGTGAGCTTCATCAAATATAAACTTTTGAGTTTCAGAAACCTTTTTCAGGACTGCGCAGTGTATCGAGTTGAGCATCGTAAATTAATTCATAGCAATGATGTACGAGCACTGGTTGCATCGCAACATACGCCATTCATTTATTCTGGTGGTGCTGATTATTATTTTTCTGTTAGTGATCGTTCAAAACATGCCTATGGTTTGAAAAATGTTTGTTCTGAACTTGTTAGCATTGTATGATTAATAAGAAACAGTTTTTGAAAAATTATGCGTGATATGTTCAGCATAATTTGTAATCAATACGATTTTGCAGAATTTGGCATTATATAATCTTTCTATATTGAAAGGTCATAATAGGAAAATTTTTTTTCCATTTATTTATGTTGTATTAACGAATTTTTCAGATTATGTGTAGCATTGCGCCTCAAACAAACCTCTTTTCATATCAGTACGACGATCATATTGTTATTTGGAAAGCTGGCTCACCTCGTACAAAAATGCTCAATAAACGAATTTATTGCTTAGAAGATGATCCGGTTAAATTAGGATATTTACGGTCTCATCAAGGAAAATCCATTGTTTCAAGGTAATCCCATTCATTTTTATATAATAATTTTACAAATTATAAAAATTAATATCTTTGAGGAGTACTATTGAAAATTAGATACCATCTTGTCTTTTTGAAGACATAATATTTATAATAATTATTTGAAATGTTAGATATCAAGAATTTCTAGATCGTGTGGCTTTTCTCAAGAGTAAAGCTTTTGTACAAAATACTTGTTCACATAATATCTCTTCATGTTTGAGCGTTATCTCATAATGAAGAGAATTATATAACTTAAAAAAAATTTTTGTGGTTATATAAACTTTCAGTGCTCTGAATTATAAAGGCACTTTGTTGGCAGTTTCTACAATTGGCACTACAACTCTCTATAAATTCGATTTTGAATTTTCAAAAGAACCTAGCATATCTCTCTTGAAGAGATGGGATATTATTGGAACAAAATTGCTGTTTTCATCTACCTATTTGTTCATTGCCTCCTTGAGCTTCAAGATATCTTTTATTTCACTTTCTGATTTATTACCAGAACATCCGCTCACAATTGCTAAAAGAGGTTTTCCGAAATATTTGTTCTTTAATTTCATTTTGAAGTTCTAATGTATTCAAATCATGAAAGAAGCACAGAACCTAAAGATGTTTGTATGAATATTTTCTTAAATTTGGAAGGCACGGGAAATACTGCAGTTATTTTCCCGTGCTTTCCAAATTTTAGAAAAGTTAATTACAGTTGATTTCAGATGGCGCTGGAGAAGTAGTTCAGCTAAACGGTAATATGGATGAAACACTGCTTGTGATATTAACCACAAGAAATGAACTATTCATTTTGAATATCAAGGAAAAGGTTAACTTTTCATAATTTCACTGAATCATTTGATTCTATTTCTCCTCTTTTTCATTGAAAATACTTTTATACCACATAATGCTTAATTAACTATATTTTTGCGTAGTAGTGGCTTTAAACACCTGCAATTTTTGCAGAGCCTTGTTTCATAAATGCATCTCACTATTTCACAACATTAAAGTTCATGTTTTTTCATTGATAAAGTTGAGATGTGTAGTTTTTGTGTACTACAGCAAAATCAGTTACTTTTCTGAAAAATTTGAAATTTTACCGAATGAGGAAAATGACTGTAAAGTTTCGTTTATCTCGAATGTCATTAATTTTAGAGTGCGTGTTCAGACTTTCGTCATTGCGTGTTCCAATTATCGTCATTAACATTTTTACAGATGTTACGAAAGTTGGATATTCTAGGATCACATGTGATCATTGATGCTCAGTTTGTGAGTGATATATCGTTGTATATTCTCTGCGCTGATATGAAGAATACGATTATTGAGTATAACACAAGGAGTAACAGCCTTAGTGAGAATACAGTTTCGACAGAAGCATTATGTATGTTGCAAAATGAAGTGGTCTTGCAGATGAATTGTAGTTTAGAAGGAATTATTTTGGGAGGCTCGCGAGGCAGTTTGCGCATCATTACGCTTGTTAACGGCGTAAGTGTTATATTTTTTGGAATACGGTGATTTGCGAGATGGTTTATGCATTTTAAAAAGCTATGAAGCTTAATATACGAATGAAAAAGTTGAAAGAGAAGTACTTAATAGAAGTTTCAAAAAGTAGCTGATTTTATTGAATAGGGCACCGTTGTTTTTGTTTTGTTGAAAATATATTAGAATTGATGCATTTTTAGTGGATCAAGTGGGAAAAGAGATAGCGGTGCTAGATATTAGTTTTGCTGATATATGTCATTTGGAAGTAATAGCAGATGATATTTTGGTGATGATGCTTGATGTGAGATTAAAGATGAGCAAAGAAATGAACAAATATTACTGTGTGAAATAATGGTGATCATTTGCATTGCTGTGACATTGCACACTCAAAATTTGTGTGAAAATAGTTTTCGTAAAAATGCTTGAATTGTGAGTAGATAAATAATAGAAGCTATCGTTTTCTAAAAAGGAAGTGTTAGTTGTTTTCCTCTCGTGAATTTGTGTTACACACAAGAGACAGGAAATGTAAAAGAAGTAATGTGCATGTGCAGGAGACATTTGAAGGCACTCAGAAATGGAAGGAGGATAAAACATGATGGATAAATGTATTGAGAATAGACGGGAACTGCTGTTGTGGTTGGATTGAACTTGGTTTAGATAGATGGATTTGGCGGTATATGGCTAAGTTTAATAATATATATGCATGCATGCATGATGGGGATGCATTGATAGTCAAATAGATGGGTGGATAGATAGACTGATAGATAAATGAATGGATGGGTGGTGTATTGGTTGAGTATCGGGAAAAGAGATTAGTTTTGTACGGCTGCCACTGACTACGATCGTTAGTTATGTTTATTTGCATAAAAATTAACAAGGTAGGAAGGGGGTGGGAAGGGTAGATGAGTAGTGAGCAGTCGAGCTTGTCTTGAAGAAGAAAGCAGGATCTTGGCCTATTTCACTCACTTCCTCTTAGCTTTGCTTCACCCTACTCGCTGTCATATTTTCTTGTAGGAACGAGTTCTGCTCTATGGGCCAGAAGCATGTGCTTTGAAGAGGACAGCAGAAGGAGAAGGTGCTGGAGTGTGTTTGATACGCAGGGATCGATGTGTGCAAGCTTGTTGGCTATCGAGCCGAAAATTGCTCTTCACGACGCCTATTATGTATGCCGAACCGTCGCAAACTGCTTTTCGACTTAAACGTTACGGCCTGAATTGATGAGTGTGTTTTGTGCGTGAAGTAATAGCTGTTGTAATAATAATAATAGCTGCAGTAGCGTTTATTGCCAGATTATTGGCTAGCGAACTAGTCGTTGGCACCTTACTCTTCTGGCTGCTAATCATCTTTTTACTGTCCACTCTATGAATAGCAGCAAAACGGCACTTCTTATGAATGCTTGGCATCTCTTTTGAAGCATTGTTATTATTATTATTATTACTATTATTATTATTATTGCTATTGCTATTATTATTGATACTTTTCTAAACCAATCCTTTTTGTTGGTTGCTATATGACGAACTGCTGCGTCATTTATCAACATCACTGTTATTGTATTGTAAGAACGTTGTTATAAGGAGAGCAAGTACTCTTCACTAAAGTACTTACGGTTACAAATCATTGTTGCTGCCATTTTTGGGTCAATTTTCTATGTTGATAGCTATATTGAATTTATTGTTAATTGTTATTGTTGATGGTGTATCTTTAACTCATTATTTGTCAGCAATTGATAATAATAAGAAGAGTAAAGTAAGGGCTAATAAATAATTGTGCAGCTAAAAAGTAACTGTTTATCTGTGGAAGGAATAAGGTAATCGAGTCGTAGATCAGAGAAGTAAATGAATGAATGTTGTTGCCGTGCTTTTGGCTTTGATAGTGGGTGTTACAAAGTCAACTGAACGGGAACGATGTGAAGTACAGGAAATTTATGGAAAGGAAATGTCTGAAGGTTACTTGACATCACCAAATTATCCGCTCACATACCCGCCTAATCAGGATTGCCTTTTCAACATTACTGCCTCAGCAGATTTGGTCATCCATCTGACTTTCACCCATTTTCATCTGGAAGGTCACACACAACGCTCCAATCAATGCCTTAACGATTATCTAGTTGTAACGGTGGTAGATCGTCAAGGGCGTGAACACGTTAGTGAGCGATTTTGTGGCAGTCAGCTTCCGGAACCCTTGCATACTATGCAGAATCAAATCTATATCCGGTTCCATTCATCCTACACCGATCAATTCTCAGGTTTCCGCGTACGATATCAATTCATACCCGAAGGTTGGTCCATGTATATGCTCTTGCTTATCTTACATTCCTCAACAGAGACTTATTCTCCATGTTGACATCCAGAAATTGCTTCCTCTAAATAATAAACCAACTTAATGAACACATTTGCCTTCCGCATTGGAGTTTTTGCCTGATTTCCATTCAGCACAATGCGGTAACTTTCCTTCTTGTGTAAATTGAGCGTAAAATGATTTTTTGTGCATAAAACTTGAAGTTAGAAAAAGACAACATTTCTAAATTTAGCTATAACTAAATTCAAAAATTTTTACATTTTTGATTTTCAGCATCGTCTCCTAAATTTGTATTGATTGTTCGTACTAATCATATATCAAATTATTAAATTAAAGATTCGTTGATTTGTAATCTACAAGTTTTGCAAACATTTCTAGATAGAACTGAGTTAGTAGTCCCTCATATGAACCAAGTAATTACTCATCTGGCAGTTCATGTTTATCTCTTGATGCTAAAATCCTGCATTACCTTTTTTGTCACAAGAATGTCTCTGAGAGATTATGAAACCACAGTCTTAAGCAATCACATAGTTCTGGAACTGCAGTTATTTGAGTATTTATTAGCCATTTTCTGTTCCAGTTCTGTTCATTTTTGCTGGAACAGAAATGGAACAGAGAATTCTGTTCTCGAGTAACTTTAGTTCCTTCTAGTTTGAATGCACATTCGGAGAATGAAGTATTTGCTGTTACAATTTTGTATTAAAATATTTTTCTGTTAAGAATTTATGCACAACTAGTCGAAGTTATCCAATTTTAAATTAAATGCTTATGAATTCTCAGAGTCCATACTAGAACCAGCTAGTAGCTATTTCGATGACGACCTCAGATACTTGAGGTATTGTGGTGGTCACAATGTCAAAAAAGCATTCAATGGGGAAATACAAAGTCCTGGCTATCCTGCATTTTATCCTAGAAATGTTACATGTAACTGGTTGCTACGTGTAAAACCTGGCAAGAAAATTTATTTACGTGTAGGATACTTGCATTTGTCTCCAACTATGGGTTAGTTATTTCATCCTTTTTCTTTCGTGACTGCATCAAAGATGTTTGTTTTATTTAAAATAAATCTTGGCGTTTTTTTTTCTTGATTATTTTTAGAAGAAAATTTAATTAATGGTGACCAAGCACTTACTAATACTAATTATAATTAATGATGCATTTATAGCTGAATGCGAAAGGGCATCATTGTATATAATTGATGGTTACCGTCATGATTCGACGGAAATTACAAGAAAAGAAGACGGAAGTCAAGTGAAGTTCTGCGGTAGTCAGTTGTATTATACAGAAGAAGGCATGAAATCGTACCTGTCTACTGGAAATCGTCTTATCGTTAGGTATTCCTTGTTATATTCAAACATTTTTATACTTTTAATATTATTTTAGTTTTACTTTACCAGCACATATTTTTGGATTCATCTGTTGAAACAAGTAACGATGACCTCAAGAAGATGAATAATATTTCTGGAAATACCTGAAATCTGAAAAAATTTTCGTCCACAAGGAAACTGGTGCATTAAAAATCATTTTCGTTAATTTCGACGTTACTTGTAATGAACTGCATTGAAATTAAGGCACAATTTTCAGATTCGTTACTAAGGATCATCCAAGTCCATCAATGTTAGCGAAGTACGAGGAGGAAGGTAAACCAGTTGGTTTTCGTCTTGTATGGACTGAAGTTGAAAGAATTTTTCCCGAAGAAGACACTTGCAGGGTAATAAAAATATCATCTCGCGCATCATGTGTAGTTTTATGTTTGATGTATGACTGCCGAAAAACGTATTTGTAAGCGTCCTTGCATAGCGAACATCGTAACGTGTTAATTTTTATTAATTTTAGCTAAAAATTAATGTGCATGATGAAGTAATAATGCCTAGGATATCGATCTCCGAAATTAACTTCATACAATTTTAGAACTTTTTCAAATTCTTTATGCGAATTGTACGATTAGATGACACTGACGAAACAAAATTAGCGTATAGTTTACTTCTATTCAAGATTGAGGGGTGCACTAACTTCAGTTTGCTATAAAAAGCTTAATGAAGTTGAAGATGATTACAACCATTTCACGTTCATAAAAGTCCTTCCATACCGAGAACACTGAAATAACATGAATATTCTAATTATATGCGTGTAACAGTACATTTTAGTGTATTATAATTTACAGGGCTTTGCCTGCAAAGGTGGCGAATTATGCATCGATGATGGGCAAAATGTTTGTGCGAGACGAACCCAATTATGCATCGATAAGTCTCTAACTTGTAATGGTATAAATAACTGCGCTGAGAATGATAATACTGATGAAGAGGACTGTAAGTTTCTAACTCTTGTAATGTGTAAACTGAAAACTCTTGCGAACCCTTTATTCCATGGGTAGATTAAAACAATTTTTGAAGGATGATAAATACCTAAGAAAAGTTACTGTTTGTGAATTATCGCATGTCTGCAATTGACATAATTCACAAATAGGACGAGCATAATCCCAAACTGTCTTACATAAAAACTCAAATCCATAAAGCATGATTTCATGCCCTATGAATTTTCTGATTAAATCTATCTCACGTCCAACTATTATTTCACTGTTTTGGTCGTAGCATTAACTATTGTAAGACGTTAAGACGCGGTGAAGTGTTCAAGACGAAATATAATTACAAAACAGTTAATTTCATGCAAAAAAAAAGAAAACAAGAACTCTGCAGCTGGGTGTAAATTTAATTAAGGAATAAGTTCTGATCTTGTCATCTTTTTGTTTTTTTATTTCAAAAATAAATTTGTACAAGGATTTTTCTTCAAACTTATAAATGATATTAGGAATAATAATTGAATTTCCAGGTTATTATCAACATATCATCGCGTCAGCGTGTTCAGTAATTCTGCTTCTAATATTGCTAATCATATCTGTGATTCTGTGGCAACGCAGAAGAATTAGGCGACGTATCAATGAACGAAGACGAGAAAGACTCGAGGTCGTAGCTCGAGCACCAGCTTCACTTAATGATAGTAACGGCAAGAATGCTATCATTTGGGAATCAACAAGGTGTTCCTCAATAAATTTCGACTCATTATCTGATATTCACCATCACCACCTCCACTACCATCAACAACGACATAGTCAACATGAACATCATCAAAAACATATTGCTCTTTCTCAAATGAATACTTCCCATTCTGCTCTATTGTAACTTTTTTTATTTCTGGTATGAATTTTTCTTTATTGTTGTCATGTTTTCAGTTGCACACAATATTTGTTTGGAAAAAAAATTGTGGAGGTAAGAATGAAAAGAATATATTGTAGTCTTATATTCTTGCAAATTTCTGCCACCGTTTCAGCACTAGTGATTATTGAAACACTCTCATCATAACAAATGAAAATCATTAAACTGACATTTAGTTGGTCGCACTACGTCCAAGCTAACTTATTAAGCCTCGATGTACTGCAGTCTTTATCACCTGAAGGTACCTTCAGATATACATTACCATACGGTGTGCTAGAACACGACAACACGGACATATTATTGTTAACATTAATGTGACACCATAATAACTGACATGAGAACTTTCGAAATTTTTATTAAAAACTTGCAAAAGAGCATAAATATATTTATAGCCACAACTGTAGATTATTTTATTCAGCCGTCATGAGCTGTTCAATGTTTTCTGGTTCTCTTATAGCATCTCGTGTAAGCACTTCTACAGTACCATCCTTTCCAAGCAAAATATCATCTTCAATACGCATACCAATGCCACGAAACTCCTTTCTCGATTTTTCGTTGTCATCGCGTATGTAAATTCCTGAAAATCTTAAATGAACAGCAAAATACAACTGTATCCTTACAATTTTTGTTGTCATGGCATAGGCAAATTCGGAAAAATTTTTTGCTGTGAATTGTATACTTGATATACCTAAAAAAAATACGAAAAAATATTCGAAAAAATTTCTGCCTGGTTCAACAGTGAATGTAACTCCTGGCTGCAGAATAATATTGCGTGCTACAGAAGCGGTGTCGTGCACATCCATTCCAAGATAGTGGCTTACATGATGAGGGCAGATTTTATCTGTTTCCTTAAAAATCAAGTTATTTGTAAGGTGTAGCGCAATTCCAACTTAGTCCCTTATTTCAGTTTTACTCCATATGTTCACTAAATGACAACCCTATCTATGTGATTAACAATATTGAAACACACATGAAGTAATTCATTTGCGTCAAGACTTCTCGCAAACATCCCCACTTCCGAAATATTCTTAGCAAGATATTTAAGCATTGTCACATATATTTCATTTAGTCGTAAATGTTCAGTCCGTCTCAAATATTCAAATAATCTGGCCTGTACATCATTAAGTGCATCATACATGGCTCTCTGTGGAGCATTAAAACGACCGCATATAGGAAAAACGCGCGTTATATCACTCGAATAACCTTCATAATCACAACCTGCATCTACAAGTACTGCATCGCCTTGATCAAGCGCCTGAAAATTTGATTTCTCATTCATAATATATTTCATGACATAATTTTAGGAAAGCAACACAAAAAAAAGACAACCTTATTAGCATCCAAGTAATGTATTATATTAGCACGATTACCAGCAGCAACTACAGGTGGATAGGCTAGGCTTGCTGCACCGCGACGCCTAACTTCTAATTCCAATCGTCCCACTATTTCGTTTTCATTAGCGACTCCTCGGCTCCTTGCAATTACTGCATTCATCGATTCTGCACCTATTTTACAAGTACGTCTCATTAACTCTTGCTCTGCTGGTGACTTTATCCACCGTAAAGTGTCTATGTGCTCACGTAATGGCAGAAATGTATCACATCCTGCTAACACCTTAAATTTATGCAGTCAATAATTTCAGATTATAAATAACTAAATTATGTTATTACAGTAAAGTTAAATGTGTCGCTAGAATATAAAGACTTACCTTCCCTATATTTTTATATTTTTAATTTGAAAACAATCTAGCTCAATGAGACTACACAAAAATTAAAACCACAAACTTATCAAGTGGTAAAACTGATTTGCAGAATTTGCTTCAGTATAAAAAATGTTTAGTGGTAACAAATATAGAGTAAGGACAATTAGAAACACAAATTTTGCAACCTATTAAATTTTGTATTTAATTCCATATTGCTTAATAAAAATATTTATGACATTTACAATGAGAAAAGACTCAGCTGTTTTAAGAACAGAGTATTAACCGCTATAAAAACAGCACTTTATCTACCTGAACAATATCATCATTAATTGTACTTAGAGTTGTGTTGTCATAAGAAACAATGCAAGCTTTATCAGTTAATATTTGTAAATCCTGAATGAGCTGATTATGAGATTTTACTTCGTCGACCCCAGCAGTGTTTATAATTCCGCTGGCATTCAATCCAGGACCTTCCCACAATTCTTGTCTTTCTGTACGACCTGAACAATTCAATAACTGTTTTTTGTAACAGCTTACACATGCAGCGCAATCAGTACTCGGTTGATTGAAAGGAAAAAAAAATAGATAAACTATATACCTTCAAAATACAAAATTGATACCGGGTTTTGCGTTTTCTCAAATAAAATGATCAGGACGCAATCCGGTTCATTTAATCCTGTCAAGTACCGAAAATATGAGCATTGACGGAATGGATATGGAACATCTGGGGCGTAAAATCGGCGTATAGCTGATCGCAAAACGATCAGCACAGATTTCTTCCAATCTTTCAGAACTGACTGTCGTAAATGTGAAACCAAACTTATACGACGCTGCCTATACTCATTAGGAGTTATTGTTTGACCAAAACATCTGATGGTACGCGCTGATGAAAACCTTGCAACTTTCCATAGAGACTTGTATGTCCCTCCAATCATCCTTAAACAAAACATGTGCATCAACAAGTGCGACCCATGTAACGAATACACCCAAATATTCATTGATCATTTAGTTTGACTTCATGCTCACAGTTAGAAGAATCACAATCTGGACATCTGATTACTATGCTTTACTAAAAACTGCGTGTTCCATGCCCCGAAGCCAACTTCCAAAACAAGTATTTCCACCAGTGTCTACATCCGCAGTGTAGATACGGTTAAAACCCCTAGCACTAGAAAATAGATGCCAAGCAAGTTGCTGACACAAACACTATGAAAACTTACCTACACTTTCAGCATTGCTTCCAACGCCGTAACCTGCATTCACACAAGGAACACCAGACCAAAAAATATAAAAGCCAAGTTTCGCATGTATACAAAAGCTACATCAGACAGAGTAAACACCCACTTCAATAAGGATGCACAAGTGCTTTCTTTCTTTGAACTGTATAAACTAATTGATATTTCTCCAACATTAAAAGCAAACATACTTTCCTATCAGAATGACTACGAAAACTGGACAGACATAATATCCAACATTATACTAAATGATTTATTTCAATACAGTAACAAAACTCGATTCACAAAAGTTATAATAGTTAACATAACATCCCACTTCTCTGCCTTCTTATCACATTGCTACCTTTCTTTGTCTCCACTCAATACTAACCACAGTTCAATATAATATAAACTTCATATTCAGAATCATAACACTAACAATGCTATCGGATAAAGAACAGGGTAAACTCAAACATTCATCACTGAACATTTTCAATTCATAAAAAACTGTATGTATAAACGATTAAAATAATAAAGATTTAAACGATTGGTACAAGCTGAGAAAGAGAATACAAGAGATACGTAAATGATTGAAAATAACATCGAAAAGGTAGCAAAAGTAAAAATGTGGGAAACTGTAAATCTTAAAAAATTTACTAATTACGTAATGAAAACTATATTCCCAATGCAGCTGGATTAACTTTTGGAAAGGAGTTGTTTTGGCTTATTACAATGAAGAAAGTTGTAAATTATGAACTTTAGAGGGAAAAGTATCTAATAAAAGCATAATCAAAATTCTTCACATTTATTTTGTTCTCACAACACAAAATTATAATCTATGATGCACTCCAATGTTGCGGCCCACCACCATATGTTTTTTTATGCCCATGTAAAGGCATTTGTTGCGACATGTATCCCTGCGTTTGATACACTTGTGGCGGTGGAGTAGCCTGTGGACCGCCTCCAAGACGATCTTTCGTGGTGGTAGAACTTCCATATTTATCGAGCTGCTGATGACCTTGATACAACTATAATGTGCAAAGTTAAAAGACATCCAATTAGAAGAGAAACATAATTTCAATTAAAAATCGTTTCTACAGAATAACAATCTCAAGCTGAAACGCTGAAAATTTACTTACATTACCAACTTTTTGTTGCTGAGATGATAAGCGCTGTTCAGAAAGAGCATCCTCCACACTTTGCTGCGCAAACATCTGATGGTTTAATTTATGCTGGCCATTCGTAACGTTCGGTAGCATAAACGAAAACGGCAGCTGATTGATTTGAGGATGATAAGCAGCAGGTGGTACCTAAAATATTTAACAATACATCCGATAAATTGATGAGCGGGACACGAAACTCTGAGAACACAAAAAAGTCAGTGAATATATGCCTGGAATATGGAATTAATATGATTGTGCTGTGGAAGTGTGAATGCAGCAGCTGGTGGACCACTGAAACCCGGCGGTGGAGCGACTGCAGAATTATTTACTGCGGAATCTCGTTGCTGTTGAGTACCCAAGATGCCAGAACCAGTACCACTTGCTATTGAGCTGTTTACCGCTGCAGCTGCAGCTGTCGCTAAATATGCCTGAAATAAGAAAAGGATACAAGCAAGACTTGAATATATTTCGGACACAAAACTTGCACAATGTTGTTAAGGTTTATCTGAATTTCATCAAAAATTTGTCGACCATACTTTAGAGAGATCAACAATGCTAGGATGCTGGTCCGGTCGCTGCTGATGTTGAGACTGCACAGAAGGAGGAGGCTGATTCTGTTGCTGTTGGGAAGCGAGAGCCGCTGCAGCTGGAGGCAACATTGTTGATATAGAATTCATATCAAACTGCCCTACTCCTAAAACATAATATTCAAGGTCAAAATTACCGAATAATGTTGACGTTAAAGTTTTCATTGAAACAAACAAAAAGAACTACTCACCGAAAGGATATTGTACCAATGCTGCTGCGTATTCATCCTGTCGTACACCTGCCACTGGACTATACATATTAAGATATGGGTAATTTGCGTATGGCAGCTGTGTTGTAGTATACAATGCATGTGGTGCCTGCTAAAAAGTAATCTAGTAGAACAAGTAAAACATGATACCATGTAAACATGCTACCATGTATAGTCAAAGATCATGAATTTAAAACTAAAGACAAATTCCACATTTCTGGGCGAAGAACACGCAGTATGCTGTATCACACCTGCTGATGGTGCAGAGAAAGCGGTAGTTTTGTGGTATTTCGATTATCAGAGGATGGATAAGACATGCTTGAAGTGTCTGCATATGATAATCCTGACGTCACTGGCTGACGCTGAATTGTATTTGCTTGATGGACTGCAGGGGAAGCCTGTGACAGAGAAACGCTACTATTACCAGAGGATATCTGAAAACTTTTATGTAGTGCTGCTTATCTATTTTTTTCAATAATATTATTTCTTATTCATTCCACACTAATTAACTACTTACTTTCGGCTGTTGCTGAGCGCTGATCGAAGATGAATAATCAGCGACTGGACCATTCGAGAGTATGGATGTTGATGAATCCGCATTAACTTCAGTCTAAAAATGGACTAACAATAAATGAGTGAGACAAGCTGACATTTTTTTATTAAAGTGATAAAATGAGACAACATTTATTAAAATGATAAAATGAATGCTAAACACTTGTAGTCTCATAATAACATTAGTGAAGACTAATCACTAAGATTAAAAAAACTTTTGCACTATTTTTTGTCTTTAACACTTGTCGCAAGCAGCACTCAAGGATGAAATTAAAGAAAAAAGTAAATGTATCAAATGAGATTAGAACTAGCGTTACTCAAACTGAATAAAAAAAACCTTAGGAGCATGACTGCTTAAAGTGCGAGATTTAGAAGAAGTTCCATAAACATCATCAGCATGTTCATCATTTCCAGCTGCCGAATCTACATGAAAGCCAAATTGGTACTCAGGTAAAGTTGGGCCACTGGACTCACCGGATACAAATTCCACAGTATTAGAATGAGCGGAATGTCGAGCTGCTGGCCGTGAAACTTGTCCTACTTTTGGAGCTTGAAGAAGTGCTTTAGGTGCTAAGCCTGGCTGAGTTGCACTAGATTTTGAAACAGTAGTAGCAGTACCACCTATTCCGAGATCATTTTTCAGCTGAGTGGTCCAGTCCGCTGATGTATTCGTGACAGCAGTTACAGGTCCTGCTGCTCGAGATTGCTGTGAAGCCATAGTTGTTTGTACTGTCTTTGCCGTACCAGCAGCTGATGATGACGTTTCACGACTAGTTATGGGTGGGGTTCGAACCTCGCTTTCTTTATCTGCTTCTTCCGAGGTAGCAGTTATCTGACTGCTGGTTGAAACTAGCCCAGTGCTACATAAGTTTTCAATTATATTGATACAAAGCTGCAGAAACTGAAGTTGTCCAAGTTGCCTAACAATCCATCTCTCCACAAAAAAATATCAATGAAACTGATAGTAATGAAAGTGGCCATAAATTGAAATATGTTTCAAACTGCTATAGCTATATAGTAACTGCTATATATTACTATAAACTGCTATATAATTTTACAGGAGTAAAGTTTTTGTTCTGGATTTAAACTACTGGTGACAATGGAATAAAATAACACACTTCTGATAAAGTGAATTCACACTTTCATTCTGAGATTGCCCCATAGAGAGTGATCCAGCAGGTTTGGTTCGCGCAACGGAACTTCTAAACAAACTTTCTTTGGCTTTATTTGTTCCAGATGCTGCAACAGCAGCAAAAGATACCGGCCCAGAAGTCGACGTCACTGAGCTGATCCCAGCAACCATACTTACTGCAGGTGTTGTTGTTGGTGGTGTTGCGCTCCGTGAAAAGACTAATGTTCCATGTTGTTTCTGAATACATGGAATGACTTATGGAGATAACATGATATTCTAATTTCTGTAAATTTTGTTTACAATACATTAACAATGAAAAAAGGGCTATACCCATTCGGTATCTTCTGCATTATCGTCAATGGCTGCATTGCTTGTATTGGTCCAATCTTTGCTCATGTTAATTTTCAAAGCCTGGGAATTATCCCACATATTACTTCCCATATTACTACTAAACTGTCCTTGCAATGATGACTGCTGATATCCTCCTCGATAAGAACCTCGAGCACTCCCACGTCCCCCTCGATAACTACTGCGTCCACGTTCCGTTCCTCGTCCTCGTCCATAGCCTTCAAACTCTCAATACTGAACACAACTTCAGTGCAATCCTCTACAAAACTAATTTTTGTCTGCAACAAGTGAAACAGTTCAAAATTGCAATTTATAATGAACTGCAATCAATGTCAGAGTTTATATCTCATAATAAATCTATCAGATGAAAAGCAGCACAGCTCCAAATTTTTTAAAATGTTTATAACTCGACGGCAAACTATAACATTACATTATACTGCTTTCTGCTTTGAGTAAATGCGAAATATTTTAATCCAAAAATAATACCAAAATTATTTGACGATCTACCACTATTTAATCGGTTCCTATGAGCATTCAACTCTTCATGCTTCAGTTCTTCTGCTTCAGCCCGCTTTGCCCTTCTACTTTTTTGTTCTTTCCAAACATTCTCATCTGAATAATTATCTTCCAAAATCGCATTTACTGCTTCTTGAACGTCATTATTATTATCATACAATGCGATTTCAGCTTGAGTTACAGTACATCTCGTTGTTTCAACAACCTGAAGTTTAGGCATCAATTCTTGCATAAACATTATATCCAGAGAATGACCGCTCAATAGACAATTATACATCAAACTATGCTTAGCAGCCAACTACAAAATCAAAAATATGTAGTCAAATGATAAAAAGGACCAACCGCGTGATTCAGCAAAATGAGTAAAATTTTTTTGTTCGTCAATACTAAAACATTGTTAATTTTGGATGAAACTACACTCTGAATGAAAAGTAAGTGAACTGATTAATACATAGAAATACCTTCTTGACAAGCTTTTGTATATTTGCCCGATCATCATCTGTTATAGACAAATCCTGAGTAAGTCTAGCAATTCGCAATTGATCTTGCGTTGCACGGATCTTTTGATCACCTAATTCGTTCTTGCCACCCATTGCTTTTGTAAATTTAGCAATTGGAAAGTGAAATCTTAAACATTTGAAAATTCATAATTTTCGTTTCCTAAACGCAAATCGTCTAAACCTAAACAACATTTTAAAATATCTTAAGGACATAGAGGTAAAAATGGGTAAACGAAAAAATAAAATTCATAGAATGAAAAATAAAGATCAACAACACAAAATTTTAAAGGATAATTTTAAAGAAAACTTTATACAAATACAAAATTTAGAATTGTACCAAAAATCACAAAGGATATCATCAAATAATAACAGTTTATCCCGATGCACTATCATGACCTGATGCAAAATGATAATATACCTGAAACATGCAACTAAAGCAACTTGACTGCTGAATCTAACTGCGACGAATTTTAGAAAATAACATGCAATGATGTGAAACAAATGGAATTAGGTGCTACAGTGATGCATAGACCAAAGCATGATTAGCCGAGAAAATGATAAAACGATATTGCATGTAGCAACGCACGCAGCATCCCTCCTAACCCAATGAATATCACACTTACTGTAATGCAAACCATACTAACTACAGCGTAATTCTGTACTATACAGCAATCAAGAAAAAACCCAACAAATCACGCTATACACGAGCCTATAAATTTCACACATGCTTTAATCTAAAAAACATTAATTCACTAGCGTAATTTTGAAGGAGCTGAAGTAAACTGTACTCTACCTTACAACAGACTGGAACCCGTGTTGCGGTCAAACAAAACACGTACTCATGAAATAGGTAGACTGATCAAGACAGAACTTATCAGCACTCAATATCAAGCGCGCAGAATGTACAAGAATGCGAAACATAAGTCCTGCAAAGATGACATGCTATTCGACAATACTTCACTCACGCTAAGCACTTTGGTGATACGTTAGAAGTTATCGTTTCAGAACTCCCATTTTAGAATGATTAGAGACTAGGCATTTGGCAAACGATACAGCATTCTAACGTTAGATATTACTTCTTTGTTTACATGCACGCCAGGATTTTCACAGATATGGTTTCTCATTTATGTACTTTCACATCATTTTTAACGCAAATTAATTATTTATACTTATCTTTATATTCCATACCTCACAAGTTGCTGACCTTTGCAGCATCCTTCTTCAAAATTTGGTGATGTTAATGCATGTAGTCGCACTGCAAGTGAAAGTCAAAGTGGAAGGAACAAATTTTTGGTTAAATCTGATTCGTTTCTCTGTGAATTTTATTGCATTATATATAAAGAAAGAAAATTTGGGGGTTAGTTTTCGTTTTCGCTTTATTGATTCTGGCGCTGTATCGCATTCCGTCACTCTGGCTGTACATGTTCCACGCTCAGATTTGTTGTGCTCATCGTTCTCGCTTCCTTCTCGTGAAATCCATAACGATTTTCGAAGGAGATGCATTCGAGCGTCTTGAATGTATGCCTGGACGTGAGCAGATATACTAATCCTCTTCGCGTAGCGTTTGTGTAAGTACGCTACAAAGCCCATCCCTAATCATCACACATGGAAATATTTCGGCCCTGCATTTCATCTCTGACCCAAGCTTATCAGCAAGTAGGTCATGTTTTCGCTTTTTCTCGGTCTCGACTTCTGTCAACGTGTTCTGGCTAGTAATACCAATCTCTATCAGGATTACTTCACGTCGCTCCTTATCGTGTATCATATATCCACTTTTATTCTGATTGCAGTTCTCACTCGCGTATCGACTCTGATTTCAACGTTCTCATTTGCGACGACCTCCTGAACAGAATGGCCTCGTATACGCGGGGATACTTTCAGCCATACTTCTTGCAGAATCCCAAATGCATGCATCGTAGAACCTCATTGTTTTTTCCAGTGGATTTGTGATATAACATTTTTTCGCACTGCTTTCCTAGATGGTCCACCGTCTTCACACATTCCCTACAATGTGAGCACATACCTTCCTCAACTTCAAACATATTTCTATCTTGGAGGTAACAGTATCATCATTCATTTTCATCTGTTTCCGTATCACATAACCATATTGATGAATCAGGTACGGACAAGATTTTATCCGTTCCATCTTGTATAACTTTGCATGATGAGTTTTCTTTTCTATTCCTCTATACAGGAACGCCTTCTGGCCAGCTAATACATTTTCGACAGTAGGATTTGCTGTTAGGTTGTATTTGATCTTTAGATTAGGCACAATAATTGCTAAGTTCGTGTTATGAGCTTTATCTTACTTCAGAATCGCTGCCCTTCTAGTACATATGAGTGCGGTATCTACAAGAACAATATGTAGTTGGAGAAGCATAAACTCACTTCTCTGCTCAGCATTATGAAGCCCACGTCCTAGTTCGTCCCTTGGCAGGTACTGTCTCTCTAAACATGCAAGTTGGATGTAAATTCGTACTTAATTAGTAGCTGTCTGATATCATGGTCAATTGTTCGAAAGTTTTCTGGTTCCAGTTGGAGAACACCGTATAATAATTTATTAATCTTATGGCGCGCTCATTCATGGCCGTGATAAAATTCTTGCCGTTTAGTGCAGTTTTGGCTAATCACTCACTTCTCATTAAAGTCTCTGTTCGTAATTTATCGTAGCTTTCACGGTTAGGTGCTCTAGTATTTCTTGATTTATCTCTACTCCTACATCAAGAAACTTCTGAATCTCTTCGGCTAAACAGTTCATGACATCCTCGTCAGTCGCGAAGATCTTGAAATCTTCCACAAACAACAGGTGGTTCGTAATGTGAATTCCTTTTTCATTTGGATTCGCCACCTTTGGGAACCTAATATTGAGCCGACGGTTCAACGCATTCTGAAGTTAATTTCTGCGTCCACTTTGTCTGGTTTATCCCACGTCTTTGTGCCTCTTGCATCAGCTCTAGATATTTCTCCTGTGCACCTAATAAATATTAGACTCGAGTAGCATGTTTTCCTCGAAGTGCGTATCTTGTGCTTTGACACATTTCGTGGACTCCTCTAAGAACCGTTTCTGTGCGGACGATCTGCAATATTGGTGATCACAGAATTCGTTTGATTCCTCAGTTCTTCGAGAGTAATGAATAGCATAGGGAAACTTCTCGCTATACAGGGAACGACACAATGGCCATCCCCCTCTCG